TATATATATATATATATATATATATATATATATATATATTAAGTATATATATATATATATATATATATTAAGAACTTTGATAAGTAATTATAGATTTATTGTTGTATAAAACGTATATATATGTCATAAATATTGGTTGTCGCATCTCGACAGAAAATATCTTCGTGCCGTTGGGAGGAGTAAGTCATATATCAATTTTATAATATTTGACATAAAGCGATATGACTATCATCGATGAGGAAATGTTCTCGATATGAAATTTAATCAAGATTTATCAAGAAATTTATCAAAATTTTGATTCAATATTTCAATTCAATATTTTGCGAAAAGCAATAAAAGGTAGTAATCTAACAGAACATAGCAAAAGAAGCTCATATTTAGATTGGTTGAGCGCACATCCTGATCTACAATTGCTCTTATATTGTATCCTCTTTCGCGCTTTTAGACTTTCGTCAATTTGATGGACTATATTTCAATATGAATTATGATTATGATTTCGAAGATTTACTATTTTTATTTTTAAATGTCATGTAAGATATTGACGATACGGGATATACTCGAATTAAATAATAGTAAATAATGTCGGTGCATTCGTACAAGAGGAAAATGTTAATCGAAGAAAGAGATAACAGAGACGATTCAAAATTCAAGAAAATTCTTATGCAATATGTTACAAATAAAGATAATTCTAAATAAATATCAAATTTGTTAAAAATCAATATTGTTAATCGTAATGAAAATTAACAGCCTTCCATAATAGTGTAGAAAACTTGATGTACGCTTTAGAATTATTTATTTTACTCAAATTTAAATCAGAGAAACGTGCACTGAATGAGAGACAAAATTAAATAACGTATGTACGGTGTTGTAATAATTTCAAGATACGTAATACTGTAATACTTGTACAATATTTTTATAATAATATTCTTTGACTAATAACTGTCTACATTTTCTAATGTTTTTATTTCGAGCTTCGAGTTTCGATCACAGAAATATCGTTGAAACAGTTAACTACAAACTAGAAATCCTACCTTCAGCGTGTCCTTTTCTTCCATTGGTATACTGATACCTCCGCCGGCATCAGCCTCCGACGTGCTGACGTCACTAGCAAAGTCGCACGTGACAATTGGTATCTGGACCGGCTGGTTCTCAATCGTAGCGACGTTCTCCATGACTGATCCCGGAGGTTTCTTGGTGTCGGTTGCCGGTGTACTCTGAGTAAAGCTGGTTTGTCTGACGTCTGGCGATTCCGGCGGCACGACACGTGGACGAGGCTGCTTCCGGATGCCGCGACGCGCACGAGCCTTGGCAGCGAAGTATATACGTATATACACGAAGACCATGATACAGGATGGGATGTAGAAACTGCCCAGAGCAGAATAAAGGACGTACCCGATGTCCTCGGACAACTGAAATAGAAAGAAAGAAATTCAATCACTTCGATGCTCTTATACTTTTTATTCCAGGGAAATTTGATATTAATTTTATAATTTTCTTTTCCGAGTCACAGGAAAATTTTTATCGAATAGCATATTCTTCTTACATGCGATATCTAACGGCGCAAGAAAACATTGTATTAGATTTACGTAAATAGAGCACGTCGATTCTCTTCATTTTTTACATTTGTGCATTATTATATAGATGTATTCGTTCAAGATTAATGTACACAAAGATATATTGACACTGATGTTTCATTATCAATGTCAATATATATATATATATATATATATATATATATATATATAATTTATATGTATACATATGAGTTGATATTTAACGAATTGCTGGTTATGTGGGTCAATTGATTTTCTGTTGTCATCCGCACGATATGTTCGATATCCGTAAGTGGGTGTAGTAGTTCTTCGGAATAAACTCCCGTTCTGGAAAGCACTTTAACTTTGGCGCTCTATTTCTGGGAAGATCTGATTTCGATGTCGAGGATACACAACACTTTTGTAGCGACGTTCAGAATGCGCTTAACTGGATTTACGTCGCCGCATCGATACGTCCCGTGTACGTGCGACGGACCGCGTTACAATCTCGCTTTAAGAGCCCGGCGCACGTACGTCGGGGCGCAAAAGTACGAGTGTCAGAATTTAATTTTACTTAATTCGCGATGCAACGTGCGGTCGCGCGTGTAACGCGGTCCTAAACTATATTCAAATTTATGGCGCCGCGTAACTCGCGTGCGAACCGTTTTATACCCGCACGAACACGTTTCCTAGTATACCTTTAACTTTACATGCGCTAATATAATTATCTCTAGTAAGTGCAGTACAGCCTTAGTCTATCTGAGAAGTAAACTCGGTAGCGTGCTACACCACTTGGCGTAATATCTCGTTACGTCCGCATTACGAACGCAGGATTAAACGCGAGCGAGTGATTTATATTAAATCACCGCGATATAGTGATATTGTACAAAGAAAGGTATTAAGAATCTGACGTGTAAATTATGTCTGTACACGGCCGTTATATACTTTTGCAAGTGTTAGAGTCACACATTTATGAATCATTAATCTAAAATCAATAAATAAAAAGTTTTTCAACGGCAAGTTCAAGTTTTTCTAAAAACACGTATGCGTTGTGCCATTTCTCGAGTTGTGTAAAAAAAAAAAATCAAAGAATGTAAAAGTCTTCGAATGAGAGTGCTGTTTCATGTATACCTCTTGCCAAAGCTTTTAGTTTCATCTATGCTTTTAACTATTCGCATACATTCCATGAATCGTGCCGTATAATGGGCTCAGAAAGAGACTTCCATTAGGGAAGAAACGGACTCAGAAATTTTAGCTTGTAACTAGGTTAATTGGATGATTTTAATTTTAGAGTTTAATTTAGTTATATATTCATGCATCTTTTTCATCTTGTTCCTAGATGCATACAATACCATAGAATGTTGACATCAACATATGGATGCCAGCAGTCATGTGTCGCAAAGATTTAATCAAGGTATTTGTGTCACTCTAGTAAATCGCTCGTTTATCAGCGACTTTGCATGATTGGACATATTAAAATCGTGCTTTCAAAGGCACGCGAAATATATTAAGTTATGAATGTTTGTACAATTGAAATAAATTTTAGGATCGGATCTAGGATCTAATCTAATATTAGATATGTCAGGCGTTAATCAGTTGAAACGTGTCAAAGACAAAAATTAAATGACCGTGGCATGAATTTAAAATCTTGATAGACGTTTAAAGCTTTGCGTTCTCTTTCGTATCTCTCTGCTTTTCATTATTTCCTTTCTCTAGTTTCTTGGAATGCGACGGAATGCTCTCTTATCGCGACAGGAAAAGAAATTTCCAAAGGTGCAGCAGGTGTACGACCACGGGCGTAAATGCGCGAAATAACAAGCAATTTCTTTAGTTGAGGATAAATTTATAAAAGTGCAAAAGTCAATGTGCAACGCCAAGCAGCTTATTTGTCGGCACAACGCCATCACGAATACAGATTTATCTTTGTCTTCCCGCGTCGAGATTGAAACTAGAAGTTTGTGAGATATTTTTAATCATTGGACTACTCCGCAAAGAAAAAAGTGTTTATTTCGCGTCGGAAAAATGTTTTCACGTGAAAATTTCAGCTCATATAAACGATATGGATTATCAACAAGAGAATTGTGATCTCCGAATGTGATCTGAAAATCAATTGTTAATCTTAAGAAAACTTAGAAGTTTACTTTCGTTACGCAAAGTTATATTCTTTTCTGAAATTACAATATCACATGAAATAAAATTTGAAAGCAAAACGACCCGGATATAAGAGTATTCATTACAATTTTTCTATGTCATGGTAGGTAATATAACCGATGATATAAAACCAGGACGAATAATTCCTCCGCTTTAAAGGAATTTTCTCCATTTGGGCGCGGAATTGAAGAGCAAGCTGGAGAATCGCTGAGGCGGGTAATCCAATGTCATTTTCGTCGAATAAAAATTATTCACGTTTTTCGCCATTTGCAAGATTTGCACATTTACATTTTGACGATCTATCGGACTAAAAAGGAAAACTATTGTGATTCAGCAAGAATTTCAAACCGATAATCTTGACGGCGCATAACGAGCCGCTAATACAAAAGTGAATACACACGAAATAACGCAGCAATCCCGCGAGCGACGGATGAAAATTCATGAAAATATGAATAGTAAGGTGACGCAAATGGAAATGGACTGTACGTAACACTAAAAGCAGAATTCGTTGGAAAAACCGGAAATCCGTGGAAACATTCCCAAAGGAGATACCTGTCGGATGCGACAATACGTTGTTTCGAGGACGGGAAAAAGTGAAATAATGCTGACACTGCGATTGGATCGCAGAGTCATGTCGAATGTCAAAGAAACGAGCCAAGGAGTTTCTTATCGTGGCGTCGAGAGAATTGTCGATTGCTGTGAGGCAAACACTGAATAAATATTCATACATTTTTGAGTATGGGTGAACGACACACGAGGAACACATTCGTGAGAATTCGCACGTGTCAGTCCAAGATCGAAGATATAAATTCGCGCGTGTCATCTACAACCTGTTTTCGGCAAGATAAAATATTACCTCAGAGAGAGAGAGAGAGCTCGTCGAACATTTCGAATTTCGCGTCTACGATAATCCCTCGAGATTGTTGAAAGGGAGGATTCGAGAGAGAGAGGGGGGGGAGGCGATAGGAAAATGATTCGGCACATTTGCCATACAGTCTATAATGCGTAATCTTGCGCCATTCCCGTCTGACGTCTTTATCGCATGTATACACAATATATGCTGAAATACATTACCTCTGCGCGAATATACAGCGCCTGTGCTCGTGATAAATTGATTGCTTTCAGTTTTGTGCGTTCTTGTGGCAGAAAGAGGATGATAGGACAAATGAGGATGGAAATAAGCGGTGCGAAAAGCCGGCAAGAAAAAATGAGGGCGTTAGAAGCGGACAAGTGCTTCATCTCTGAATGGAAAAGCAGAAGGATTGGAGAATTGTTCCGATATATTATGCCCTTCGACTTTTTCTTTTTGCAGGAGCTTTACTCCCCTCGCTCGAGTTTATCCTTTATCGTGCCTTTTTTTCGATTATATTTCATCATTGCTCGACTGTATGTAAATATATAAATAAAGAAAATATACAACTGCATGGTACAAAACTGCATATAACTCATATATATATATATATATATATATATATAGTAGTATCTACACATCATGAATTTATAGCTTCTATTCTCTAATAAGATAAAATGAAGAAATATTATCGCATAAAAATTCAAATAATCGATGATCAGTGAATATCAATTACTGATTTTGAGACGCGCTATATTATTGAAAAGAACGGTTTAAATACTTGTTATCTAGGTGAATAATAACGCATCGCGGTAAAATCAATCGTCTATTTAAGAAATCCTGCCAAGTAAACAATAGCACATATTGCGCGTTATATATTCGGGAGATTGCTCTATTTATTTATCTTAAAAATAAACAGGCGCCCATTTACGCTCGATATTTGAAACGGTCAAAAAGAACTGACTTATCGATACTCCATATATATATATATATATATATGCATATCGAACGTTTTAGTTAGAATGTGAAAGGTTAAAGGCATGCAATTTCGAAGCGGAATTGCAAACGTTCGTTCGTCCTACTTCCTTTATGCCTGCCGGACGTTGTATAATTAGGATGGAAAATTGGGGCAAGTGGTTCACTGGTAGTTCCTCGTTTGGCCTGGCTGACGACAATGTCAAGGGCAAGGTGATATGCAAAGCGATTAATATCGCTTAGAGAAAGCAAGGAGGGCATTGTGTGTTTGTATGTACACTACGATCGTCCGTACTTATTTGTGAGTTTGTCCCGCGATAGGTGATATGACTGAAGCATGCTTGTAAAACTACTACTACTACTCGCGTATGTCACAATAAGGACAGTTAAATGACAAACGAACAGTGTTGTTTTATCGGTCTATGCGGAACCATTCCGCTCTCCGCTAGGAAGACGTCAATTAAAAAACGAAAGAAAAAAAAATTGTATAATTATTGGTTTGTTTAGCTCTATTTGTTTTTGTTACGTGACCTCGCGAAACACATGTGCGTATTTTGATCATTAATTTCACGTATGGAACGTGGAATGTATAAAATCGTAAACGCTAGTTTTAGTCACTGTTATCTTTGCCTTAAAATACTGTTTTATACTGCGAAATTACCATAGTCCAGGCACATTCGTGTTCCACACGAATCTAGCGTTGGCAAAAAACATCAAATTGTGTCTTTACACCTTACGCGTGTTATGCTGAATGTAGTTGGTATTCGTTCTCTCAGATAACTGTACATTTCGTCTGATTCAAATAAAGAGCAAAATTCGTTTCCTTTTTTCCCTTCTCGTTCTTTTATTCTTTTATCATCGGTTTCCCTTATTCACTTTCCTTCCATCAACATTTCTTTTC